ACATCTATCCTCTATTAAAAATCAAAATGCAGATGCGTTGTCACCCGTGAGGACTGAGATGGAATGCCTCATTTCCAGTAAAAAGGGTCACCGGTTCTCTACACTCACCATACGAAACACAGCAGCGTAAAGCTGCTATTTTACGTTGGTATTCTGTGAGAGGTTCTGTTGGTATATGTGCAATTAAATCTATTATGGACGCAATCACAGTAACGGAAATCCCCTACAAATCTGCGGTTTTCTTTCCATCAATGGTTTTGAAATATTTTACAATATTATGCGGTAATACTTTTTCAAATCTAAATTCTTTTAAACAGGTATTAACATTCTGTTTAAGTAATGACTCGGCGACAGTTAGAGAAGTATTCAATGACTCTGTTGTCAAGATAGGAACATCAGTGAAATATTTCTCAAACACCGCTGCAACTTCTTGATTTGATTTAGTCAATTCATTATTAATTTTTAATTGATAGTTTGAGTTACGAGGTTTCTATTTACCGGTTTCGCTGTTAATTATACTACACGTCATTTTAATTTTATTCTTAGCCGTCTTAATTTTGTTACTAATGTGTAATGATTTGGCTGTGGAGCAAACTCTTTTAAACATTTTAGAATAATTTTTTACATATTCTTTAAAAGCATCGGAAAGATTATACGATCTTTCATGGTAAAGGTGATATAACCTTCGTCTGCTTTTATGAATTCCTACTGTCGCCCACTCATTAATTGCCTTGCGACTGTTTCTGGAGAATGTTTTAGAAGTGAATGTTTTATTAAATTCATTGTTTATAAGGGTAAATAATTCTCTATATAAATAGTCTGCATTTTTCTTATAAGAAAGGGATGGAAGGTTTTTTACTATGTTACTTCTAAATCTCTCCAGGCGTTTTGCATTAATAGGAACGAACACAATTTTCTCAATTACCTGTTTTTTGTGCATATAAGTTAACGAAACCAGTTGTCCACAGTGATCAGAACTAAGTTTTTGAATATTTGATTTGTTGATTGCTACAACACCTGTAAAAATATTATCAATACAAGTTGCACTACACCCTGCAATACGTATAGCTTCAAAGAATAAATTATTAACATTATAGGATTTGAAAAAAGAACAAAGTTAAATTTAATACTGATGGAGAAGTTTCCAGGAGATTGATATTAAAGTCTCCACACACTACATGAGATTTATTCTGTTTATTAAGCTTAACTAAAACTTCTTCCATAATTTTTTCAAAAGTATCATAACTTAAACATGGGGGTCTGTAAACACTGACAACAATAAGGAGCTCAAGCTCAACACATGCCATTTCTACAGTACGCTCAACAGAGAGGCTCACAATGTCTTTACGTTCTTTACATGATAAGGTCTTATTAGGTAATATTAAGGAGCCAACACGTAATTTAGTATCTCTATTGAACGAACTGACCACCTGGTGATTTCTGAAATTAAATATGGAGTTGTAATCTTTCAACCAATGTTCTGTAATACATAAAATACGTATACTTTTACTATTTAAAACTAATTCAATTTCTAATTATTTGCCTAACATACCTTGTATATTTTAATGCACCAGGTTGATACAGTTTTTATTATTGTTATTTTGTGAAATTGCATAATTACGAGTATGTATTGGTAAGTTGCATTCTAAGCTATTTAAATTATCTTTGCTAGAGATTACCTCTATTGTCTTATTATCTAATTTAAATTACTAGGAACTGGTTCCAAATCAAATGTAAAATTATTTTGTTGCTCAAAAGAAGCAGGTGTCAAGGTAGCCAAATCATTGGCTGAGTTAAAATATAAATAATAAGATAGCGTATTTGCTACCAGTCTTAAACTATACTTTGATAGGTAATACCTATCTCTTGTCAAAAACTTCTTAGTTGAATATCAATCAAATGAAATTAATCGTTATTATTCTTACAATTAAATGTCAAATTTAAGTTATTGTTACATGTCAAGTTGTGCATCATTAAATTTAAATTATATCTTAGTTTATTTTCCTGTGGCCACCGCTCTATGTAAGGCAATGTAAACAAGATAACTTTAACCACATTTGTGTTATTGAGATATTCAATATATTTTAATAATTGATTCTTATTCATATTGCCTCTTCTCCAAACAAAAATTATTAATATACTATTAGGGTTAAATTTACTAGTTAAAATTTTATTCATAATATCACTGAATGATGCTCCAGGAATGCAGAAATTAATTGTCTGTTGCCTTTTTAAACAGTTTTTCAATGATATACCCAAGTTTTTGCCTAGGTCATCACTATACACAATTACATTATTTTTTTCATTACATGAACTACTTTTTAAATTTATCTGCTTTATGGTACTATCATAGAGTGTAGGTAAAGAAAATGAAGTATTACTGCTTGTCATATTATTAACACACACTGTCCCTAAAGAACCTGGTAGTGAGCGCTGATATTCATTTTGATATTTTAATAAGGAGTCAAAACGTTCCTCGTTATATTTGCATGACTTTACCAGATTATCCATGGCCAGTATGTGTTCTTTTATCTCATTCCCTGAAGATTTATATTTATTTGACGTAATTTGTAATGAGATTTGAAGTGATAAAATTTCTGAATTAAGACACTCTATTTTTTTTATAGGATAAGGGTGACAAACGAGCACACAGACCACCTGACGGTAAGTGGTTGATGTTGCCCATAGACATCTACATCTATCTTCGAATAAGTATCAAAATGCAGATGCGTTGTCACCCGTGAGGACTAAGAGGGAATGCCTCGTTTCCATACGAAACACAGCAGCGTTAAACTGCTATTTTACGTTGGTATTCTGTGAGAGCGTGGTCCTTCCCCGGTCGAGCCGACCCATTCATGCTACAACTATAATATAGCTGCAGCATGGCTCTACCACGTATAAAAATACCACCACGTATAAAAAATTTAGTCTCATAACAATTTTTCATGTTTTCCACCTCAATTGAATATAATTTAATTTTACTAATTAATTCTTGCTTTTCCTTACATACATTTGTATAATTTTTAATATTAATTTTAATTTTAGTTTTAATTTTAATTCTCAGGGAGAGAGTAAATCGAAGAAAAATGTGTCGCATAAAGATTACAAATTTCCTCCCTACCACGCGCAACCTTGTCGTCCAAATACAACTCAGAGTGTAAGTTGGAAAGACCTCCACGTAATGATTTGACATAACACAATTTTTTTGGGTTTTTACTGAGAGCATATTGAGTTTTTTAAATGTGTATTGTAGCACGATGACGTTAATGACTTTACGCGTGTATTAGATAAGTTCAATCTTATCTCTAGGATTCCGGTAAATCTTGTATCTTGAATGAATTCTATTTCTTTCGGCTATTAATTTTAAAAGGTTTCCTGTAAACCAATGTGGATATTTCGGACTACGAGGTTTAGTTCTGGGTACAGTTGATTGAATAACAGCATGTATAAGTTGATAAAATTATGAAACAGCGATGTCAACGTCATCCAGATCCGACAATTTTTTGACCCAATCGATTTGACTTAATTTGCTTTTTACAATTGAATAATCAGCTTTTTTGTAGTTATAAGTTGCAAATTTCTTGTTACGTAATGAGTGATAATTATTTAAACTGAACCCAATCAACAGAGCTGGATTGTGTGAATCTAATTTTCAGAGCGGATTAATAAATTTGTCGACTATTATACTGTCTAAGTTACTTAGGATGAGATCTAAGATACGATTGTTATGGTTTGCAACATGATTAAACTGTGACAAATTATTTATCGACATAAAGACAATCAATAAGTGACATAAACAAAATCCCTAAGCTATACTGATAATTTGATGGAGTCAAGTTAAAACATCCACTTGAATCTTTATTCCAGTCTATAAATCCGAGGTTGAAATCACCTAAAACAATCACATCACCGGAATGAGATGAAATCACATCACTGCAGTGTATAATAGGTTCCAGTGACGACACGGTTATTGGTGGTGGTATGTGAATGACACCAATTAAAATCGCTTTATTTGTCGATATATTTACTGATATCCACAAATCCTCTCCAGTGCCCTAAGCTATACTGATAATTTGATGGAGTCAAGTTAAATCATCCACTTGAATCTTTATTCCAGTCTATAAATCCGAGGTTGATATCACCTAAAACAATCACATCACCGGAATGAGATAAAATCACATCACTGCAGTTGTCTATAATAGGTTCCAGTGACAACACGGTTATTGGTGGTGGTATGTGAATGACACCCATTAAAATCGCTTTAAATCCTCTCCAGTGCTTTCATAGTGAAACATTCTCCTAGAGTGGTACTTAATGGAAACGGCGACCAAAACGCCTCCGCCACCTTTTTCGGCCAGGCTGGTTGATTGGCGGTCTCTTCGGTATACATAAAAGTTGTTTCTAAATAGCTCGTCATCGTAAACGCTGTCATCCAACCAGGTTTCAGTCCCAACAATAACATCGTAGTCGCCTACAACGTTCCAAGTCTCAAGTCTTTGGTTTTAGTTTTCAGGCCTCTGAAATTTTGGTAATAAATCTTTAAGGTAGCCATTTTTATGCGTTGATCAATTTCCGTTAAAGATGTCCAAGTATTATTATAGTGTGGTTATGTTATCGTAACACTTTATTTGTTTTACAGGGGACTGGTCATTTTTTCTAATAAAAATGCGGCCGTTACGGATCCAGACGAAATCGTATTGCTTTTCTCGAGCAACTTGACGAGTCCGCGCATGTAGAGCTATAAAATACGGTCCTAGATGTTCGGAAACGAAAAAAGGCGACTTGATTTCCATATATCCCAGGTGTATTATATTTAGTTTATTAGATGCGTTCTTTTTATTAAATTGTGAGTTGTTCATCTTCCTAACTCTGGTACAGGTAGCTGTTTCGATGAGATCGGTAGGAAAAGATACAGTATTGCATATTTGTTTGGTAACATTAATTAAGTTCTCAGTCTTACTTTCCGGAACACCATTCACTTCAATATTCGTCTCACGTGACTATTGCTCTAGTAAAACAAGTCTATTTGATAATTCGTTCACTTTTGTATGTAAGTTGCTGTTTTCAGCTGAAAGCGACTTTATGTGCTCCTTTGACGTTTTTAATTCCTTTTTCATTCTGCCATATTCCGCACTTAAAAATTCAAGCCCGCTTTTGATATCTTTTAAGGAACTTAACTCCTCTCTTATAGTTCTTAAATTCATTTTTATAGATGACTCCTCTATAGCTTGATTTAAAAAATTTCCCATTGATGATTGAATTCCTGATCTAATTGTTAGCATTAAGGATTCAGCTCCGGGTTGTGTAAGTGAGCTCACCTTCTGATTACTAGGTAGTTGAGATTTTTTACGCTGTGTTACGTAATCATTGTTAGGAGTACTAATTTCCTGCGACGAATCACCACGGTCTCGCGGGCCCGGTCTGGACTGGATTGGGGTGTTTAAATTGTCACCCTTTCGCTCTTTATTCCTACAACCAGGACAGATCCATTTAACTTTCTTGTCCTTCTCCAGCACCAGAAGGCGTTTTTGAGAAATATTAGCGCAAACTGTGTCTTTATATATATCTTTGCAAAGTGAACATGTTACAAAGTCCTTATTAGTTATCTTGTTTAAACATCCCGCACACAATTTTCTTTTTGAAGCCATTGCACCATAGGTATTGAAAACCCCTGTGTGTGTTAGTTGTTGGTTCTTTTTGCGAAACTTATATCGGAGTACTTTCGCTTAAAGTTAATAGCAAAGTAAGACGGTCTGACACTAGGAGTACTAGGCGCACATAAACAAGTATTCTTAAATAAATTAAAATTATTATAATTGCAAAGTAAGACGGTCTGATACTTGGAGTACTAGGCGCACACAAACAGGTAAGTGATAATGACTGACCAGACAGAGCGTAGCCAAGAAGATGGCCGCTACGAGTTGCGTAGTAGTTGGTCGGTGTGAGGCTAGGCGGCGCGTGCGCAGGAGGCTGGCAGCCGGGTCAGCTACGATTGTTCGCCGCGATTTCCGTAATAGCGGTTGGACGGGGCGCTGCTTGTTGTTTGTGATCTTTGCAGGTGACGTCACTAACAGAGAGCTCTTTTCACTTTATGCGCTCCTATTATTTTAATATAATCAAACACTGTTTTAAATTTAACTTAATTTTTTAAATAAAATTACAATAACTTGGTATACGTGGGCTCGCTGCCGAGGTCCAAAGGAGAAGCAATTCTTTTAGCGTATGCCACTCACATATAGGGCGAAGCTCTCGAGAACATTGGTGAAGCACTTGATGTTTCCCACGATGTTTCGAAGGCCTGTGACAGGGTTAGGCACGCTAGTCTATTGGGAAAGATTTCGGCGTACGGCTTATCCCCTGGCATAATGGCCTGGGTGAAGAACTTTCTGAGTGAACGGTCTCTCCGGGACGTTGTCGATAGCTGCTCATCCAATACTGTGGCAACTAACGCCAGTGCTCCTCAGGGGTCCGTTCTCTCCGCAACTCTCTTCCTGCTGCATATAAATGAGCAGTACTCATTCCCGGTATCTATGGGTCAGACGAGAGCACAGTTGTAGAGAGATCCCAACCAAGTGCCCGGGCCAGCCGGGCTCAAATCCAGTCAGAAAGAAAGGCAGTCTCCGAATGGGGCGATGGCAATCTCGTGAGAATTAACGCCTCTAAAACACAAGCTTGTCTTTTCACCGCTAAAAGGAGCCCGCTCACCTTGGCTCCTACTTACTGGAATGTATCCTTGGAGTACACTGACCGCCTTCAGTTGTTAGGGGTTGAATTTTCTCCGAACCTCTACTATGAGCGGTTCATTAAGTCTAGAGCTAAAGCAACCGCAAGTAAATTTGGTGTCCTTGCAAGGGTGCGGCGGTACTTCACGCCATAGCATCTTCTTACCTTACACATATAAAGCGCAAGTCCGGTCGTGCATGAAGTACTGCTGTCACATATGGGCTAGTGCTGCAAAATGGTACCTGGCAGCATTTGACTCAGTAAAGAGACGTGCTAAGAAGCTCATTGGTGACCTGGATTTGGTTAAACCAATCTTGTCAGCCTCGAGCACAGGCGCAGAGTAGCCAGTCTCTCGGTACTCTATAGGATGCGTTTCGGTGAGTGTGCGCAGGAATTACAAGGTTTAATTCGTCCCTCTCCTTTCCACCATCGGACAACCAGGTGGTCGGCGGGTCTTTATCCCTTTGTTATCGATATTCCACGCATTAGAACCAAATGGTTTGCTTAGTCTTTTTAATGCGTACAGCAAAGGAGTGAAATAATTTTCCAGCGTCTATCTTTCCGTCCGAATACAATCTGGGCGTCTTCAAAGCAAAAGTGAATAGGTATGCTTTTGTTACGCTAAGACAGTGCGATTTACCATCTAAGGCTGCATCACCACTTACCACCAGGTGGGATTATGGTCAAGCACTGGATTATAATAAGTAAAAAAAATTGTACCAGAAACAAAAATATGTAGTTGGCTTGAATGTAATTTTTCACATCTTTTACGCACATATAAATTATTTACACATAATAATATTGGTTTCGAATAAAGTAGTGAAATATTTTTCAAGCTTGCTGAATGTTTAAACATTCAATATAAACACTTTTATATTTGAGACTATTTACCCGCTAGGAAAAATAAAATATTGTGGCATGGAAAATATTACAAGAAACGCATCGACTAGCATTCTTGGAAAACTTACGTCCAGTGTAGTAGACTTATTAAAATGAAATGAGGTACTTAATACGAGTAGATGTAATTTTATCAAATTTTTATCATTTTCCTTCATCTTATTGAAAGTTTATTTAATCATGTTTATATGATGTAGTAGTCCTCCAGAACAGATCATGGTCATGGTGGCCAGACTAACCGAGAATAACCATCTGCGCAGGACAGAATTTATGAGCTAGAATTTACGTGCAAATATAGATTGTAAAACACCGTCAACTTCTTGAACTCGAGCTATTACTGAGAATTTTTGGACAGAAAAACCCAATAAATGATTTTTGACTCGACCTGGGATTCTAGTCTGGGACCACATGACCAGCAGTTGCGGTAATGACCACTAGATCAACGAGGCAATAAAATAGTCATATGTTGTAACACACACACACACACACACACACACACACACACACACACACACACACACACACACACACACACACACGTACGCACGCACGCACGCACACGCACATACACACACAAACACACACTTACACACACACACACACACACACGCACGCACGAACGCACGCACACACACCCACACGTACACGCACACATACAAAGTTTAATTAGTATAAAAAAAGAAAATTTAAAGAGGATTATATAACAATAAAATATTGGTGAAAATTTTTTATAGATTCTAAAATAATTTTTTCATGTTTCTTTAGAATCTATAAAAAATAATAATAAATAAATAAATAATCAAAATACTGTGAGTATCCCTCTTTTTATTTTAGTCATATCTTCCAAATTCCCGATTAATTTACATGAAATCTTAAATTTACAACGACAGTAAATTCACACAGATAAGGATTAAATATTTAAAACAAAGATCACTGCGCTATATTAAACCACAAAATTCAATTTCAGCGTTGTAATTGTCATATTTATTGCCGTCGTTAAGGAAAAGCAATTCGCTAAATAAGTTGTTTTTTATCGTTTTTTCGGTTCGTTTTTTATACATTTACAAACTGATGCTAATAACAAAAGGTGTAAAATAAGTAATGTAAAATAAGTTGCGGTGTGACAGAATGGATTACCACATTTTATCCCGTGAGTATCGTAAATCGATGTATATAATTTATATATATAGAATAATCGATTAAAGGAAATCATAGAATATATAAGTAATACAGAACCTCATAGCCTCTGAAAGAAGGCAGTACAACTGCTGTAACTACTGGATCAATTTAAATGAAACTAATTTTACGGATTCTATCACGTATATTAACTTATTTTATATTCCCGACGTTTCGGGTGCTTTCCAGCACCCGTGGTCACGGGGGACTGAGGTGTTTGATGTCCTGCTGTCATAGTTAGCCAGGCTACCTTCAGTTTTTTAATATTAATTTTTGGTTCGATTTACGCAGAATGAGCTTAGAGTATCTTGAAGTCTAGCAGTTTACTTGGGTTTGGATTTGATTTTATTAATTATGGGATTCCAAGCAGATGGCAGCACCCATCCATCTTATCTATTGAAATTAGGATGTTTTTTAATTTCAATAGCCTCGCGAATCATCCTTGGTAGGAATCGGTGTTCTTTTGCGAGGATTTGTGTTCTATCAAATCTAATGTAATGGCGGGGACGATCTTGAACATGTTCACAAACTGCAGACTTCCCGATAAGTCGGTGCTTCACGTCAGCTATATGTTCTTTAACGCGGGTTTTTATAGATCGTTTTGTTTGTCCTATGTACGAGAGACCACATTCACAATCCAGCTTGTACACTCCTGCATCTTGTAGAGGGATATGACACTTGACGGATGGTTAAAATTGACCAATCTTCTTCAGCGGCTTGAAGTATGTTTTAAGGGAAGCTCGCTTCAAGATGTAGCCAACCTTGTCTGTGACTCCTCTGACATAGGCTAGTACAGCAAGCACACGCTCGACTGTGGCTGGCTTCACTCGGTCACTGTGAAGTAGGCGCGGGTCCCGAAGCTTTTTGTCTTGCAGTACTTGCTCGACGTGCTGAAGCTCGGCGGCCAGATGTTTTCTGTCACAGATCCCTCGTGCTCTCTGAAACAAAAATTTTCCCACGATAGCTAACTGTGAAGGATGATGGTGCGATTCACCATTTAAATATCGGTTGGTTGTTTTTTTTTATAGGATAGGGTGATAAACGAGCACACAGTCCACCTGATGGTAAGTGGTTACTGTGACCCATAGACATCTACATCTATCATCAATAAAGACTCAAGATGCAGATGCGTTGTCACCCGTGAGGACTAAGATGGAATACCTCTTTGCCAGTAAAAAGGGTCTCCGGTTCTCTACACTCACCATACGAAACACAGCAACATTAAGCTGCTATTTTACGCTGGTTTTCTGTGAGAGCGTGGTCCTTACCCGGTCGAGCCGACCCATTCGTGCTACAAGTATACTACTAATATACTGCAGCATGGCTCTGCCACGTTGGTATGGGTATTTTTTCTGTACACAGTATGACCAATAGTGTTATCAGGATTTCGGATGACTAAAACATCTAGGAAAGCTAAAGCATTGTTTGCCTCTAACTCCATTGTGAATTGTATTTTAGGGTTTATGGAATTAAGGTGTTTTAAAAATGCAGTTACTTTATCAGATGGTAAAATTGTGAAAGTATCGTCTACGTACCGCTTATAGAATCTTGGATTTACAGGAGCAGTAAGAAGGGCTTTCTCCTCAAAGTCCTCCACGAATATGTCGGCGACTACGGGAGATACAGGTGAGCCCATTGCCCGTCAACTTGCTTGTAGAACTCTTCTTTCCACAATAAATAGCCAGATGTGAGGCAGTGTTTGAGCAATACTGCATATTCTGTGGGCATGTTGTTATCTTCTAGCTTTCTAGTAACAATTGAGATGCAGTCTTCAATAGATAGGCATGTGAATAATGACTGAACATCAAAACTGACCATAGTTTCATTGTCAGCGAGATCTAGGTCTTTTATC